CGCCGGCAGGACGCGCACGGTCAGCAGCCCCCGGCAGCTGCGGCCTCCTCGCCCGAAGGTCACCAGCACCTGGAGCTGGAAGAGCTGCAGGCACAGGCACAGGACAGGGACCACGGTGCCTCTCCCCGTGCGACCTCCCCAAGGAGCCCCAACATCCTCTCCTCCCAGCACGCACCACTGCTAACATTTCCCTTTCGTCCCATCTTGGGCCATGAGCCCTTCCATTGGGTGCAGCACCCCCCGAAAGCGTCCTGTTTGAGTCCTTCACGATGTGACGTGCCATCTGGGAGCTGCTAAGAGCCCGTCACTACGACTCGGAAGTTTTAAAGAAGGAACGTCCCCGACCTCCTTCAGGGCACCGGCCACTATACTCGGACTCGACCGCCCTGTGGGACGGCTCTGAACACTCCCTTCTCCCCGAGGCGCCATGGCTCCCAGAGCCAGGGACCCTCTTCCTTCAGGAAGCAGAGCTCAGCGCCGACCCAGGCCAGGCCGCGGTGGGAGGACGGCCAGCCTGGGACTGCGGGTGTGGGTGCGGGTGCTGGCGGGGCTGTGCCTGGGAGAGGCCGCATCACGTAGGAGGCCCTGGAGGCCAAGAGCAAGCAAGCCTCCAGGAGGTGGTAGCTCTGTCCATTGTATGCCCAGGCCATGGGCACCCCCAGGTCCCGGTCATGCTCACCTTTGGAGCCTGGCCTCTGAGGCCCTGGGGGGGTGCCTGCAGCCAGCCCTGCCCATTGATGGAGAAGGGTCCAGGGAAGTGTGGAGGGTCCTGGGCACTGGTGATGCTCACCTAACAGGGCAGAGATGTTGGGGTCCCCAGCCCAGTGCCCCAGGCATCCCCATCAAATCCCCAACAGCCAGCAGGTACCTGCCTGCACACCACCCTCCCAGACCCCTGACACCGACGCTTACCCTAGCCTGGCCCCCTTGGACCTGATCCTTAATCCTTTCTGTTTTTAAGCCATTTACTCTGTGTGTGTGTGTTAACTACATTTTTTTTTCTTGCATTACAAAAGTGGTACAGAATTTTCATGGAGAAACACAGAGAGCTTGAAGGAACTCGGCCCTGAGAGGTTCCTGTGGGTCACCGAGGGGCGCCCTGAGCGGCCCTCTCCATGAGCGTGTACCCTGCAGAGACTCAGCTGTGCGCAAAAGGCTCCCTCTGCAGGCCATGCCTAGCCAGGCAGGGGCTGAGCCTGGGCCCCGAGCTGCCTCCATTCTGTCCCCCCCATACACACACACACACACACACACACACACACACACACACTGCCCACCTGGGGGCTCACCTGGGCTCCCTGGAGTTCCAGGCCTGGGAGCAAAGTGTAGAGCCGAGCCCCAGGTGTGACTGTTTCCGGCACCTGGATGACCTCCCCAGCTGCCAAGGGGAGATCAGGGAGGCTGTGCTGAGGCCGTGCCTGCCCCCTCCGCCCCC